CCCCCCGCCCTCTCTTTGGCAAATCATTCGAGTGCTCGTCTAACTTTTTCAAAACCACAACCCGTAACGCAACCGTGTTACGGGGAAAGCAAAAAAAATGAAAATATCCGCCCGATTATTTCGATCGATGTGGATAGAAATTTTTTCAAGTCCCCCTTCCCTTTCCTACTCTACCGTTTAATTAGTTTAAACGCAACTTTTTCATTACAACTTTTTTATTTATATTTACATCTCGGATCGGAGACAAAGTTAGGATATGTTATGGTTTTTTTTTTACTACTACTACTGAACAGAACAGAACAGAACTGAACAGAACTGAATTGACGAATTTAATTTAGAACGTACGGTGGGTAGGGAAGAGGGGAAGAAGGTGTAAGGTTTTGATACGACGTTATACGTGACCGTAACCGTACCCCCGTATCTTCTTGATTCCTTCTATGGCGTTTAATGACCTACAGTAGCTAGCGTATCGATTGTCCTGTGACCCTGTTCGAGAGGTGAATATCGAATTTCTCTGTGGAATACATACACATATGTGACGACGTATGTATGTATGTGAGTATCGGTGTCGTCACATATATCATACAAAATTAACACGTACGAAGGTGGACCGCATACGGCATACGTATGCCAATCAATTCTCTCTCTCTCTATCTATCTATCTATCTATCCATCTATCTATTTCTATCTCTCGAGTGTTCGAACAGAGACAAAAGATTGGAAAACGATCGATACGATCTACGCAGGCGTGATTATCGCACGTACAATATAATATAATACTTTATCTTTGAGTTGTTATCTTATCGGTAATTAAAAAGAAAAAAAAAAGAAAAAAGAATAATTCGTAGGCAAAAAACGTGTTGGTGGAATAATAAGCGAGATATAACATAAACATTTCTGCCCTACCACCCCTTAGAAGTAGACAAATATATTTATTTGTCCGTTACATTATTTTATTTATTTAATATATATATATATATATATATATATATATGTATGTATAATAAGTGAACACCGATTATAAATTAGGCTAATGTAAGATGAATCAATATTATGAGAGCATAATAATTGAACGGCCGCGTGCGATGCCTCCTCTCATCATCATCATCATCATCATCATTATTATCATCATCATTATCATTATCATTATCATCATCATCATCCAGCTAGGCACGAATTACTTGACGACGACAGGCGTGTTGGATCGAACCCACTCAGCAGCAGCTGAAGCTTGGCTCAGTGGGCTCTCATTTGGAAGTAATTTGCTACTGTACCTGTAGCAAACTGCCATTATTGCAAAACAAAGGAAGACGCCCGTCACCACACCCACCAGGATAAATACCATTGTCGTGGTACTAAGATTCTTGCTCTTTTCTCCTGAAACGACCAATTATTTTTTGTATCCTAAAGATCTTATAATGTAAATCACAATTCCCCGTTCTCTTATTATTCTTCTTCTTTTCTCGATTCGATTTAAACTAACCAACGAACTAACTTATTTGTCTATCGATTCATATCGAATAAAACTATATCGGGATTGGTTTTCCCATATATTTTCTATTTTTTAATATTATTCTTCGTGAGTTTTATACAACTCCAAGGATTTAGATTCCTTGCTTACGAATCAACGTTCCTTTTCTATATTTATTTATATATATATATTCATTCTCTTATTATTTTGTAATTCAATATTTTTTATTTATGGAGTAAAATTGGATTCACTGGGGGGTGGAGACCACCCGATATAGTTTTACTACGAATTCATTCCTACCTACAAAATTTCTACAAAACACTTTTATTCCTACCTAATTTTCTTGTTTTTTTTTTTTT